TTGGGTTTGCTCTTCCCTTCTCTTGGCCACTTCCACTTTCATGTTTGCCCTCCCCTGGGGCTCTGGAGCAGCCCCTGAGCCCAGTGAGGAGCTGGGGGTCCCTGCACACCCAGCCTGGCTGGTGAATGGTGTCTTTGGTGCCCTGAGGGGTTTATAACCCAACATTTCAGCTGTTTTCTGTGTGGGGGACAGTGAAAACAAGCCAGCCTTAACCCAGCTCCAACCAAGGTGTGCCATGGCACGTGTAGCCACGAGTTTTGTGTCTCTTCTGTATTTTTGGGGGCAGATGTGGCCACAGTTCAGAGGTGCCTGATGTTCACTGACACATCCTGTGCCTGCAGCTTGTCCAGGGCTTGGCACTCCCAGCTGGGCTTTAAATGCTGATTTTCAGTCTGGGGGGATGGTGGGGTTTGTCACCCCACTGCCAACAATTCCAACCCCCCCTGGAATGGTTTCTGTGATGGTGCTTTGAAGTTCAGGTGTGGGAAGTTAAAAACGTTTCAGTCCCCAAGAAGAGCAGCCAAACTTTTGATCTCTCAGACCCTTTGTGGCTGAGCTTCTTGTTTACAGCTTTTTTTTTTTCCTTCCCTGCAGGACAATTCCCATTTTTCTCCCAGCTTTGTCCATAGAAAAACAAGGGAACTTTGCATCAGTGCTGCTCCCAGCTCCAATTGGGGGTTGTTGGGAATTGTTGGATTGTCTTACCCTGAGCTGTGACCTTGGTTGTGTTTCACCCTCGGTGTTGTGCTGCCTTGGCTTCCAGCTTTGCCTTTGTTCTCCGTGAAATTCCTTCTAAGGATATGAAATTCTTCCTTAGGATATTCTGCAGAGAAGGGGGAGGCCTTAAAAACTGGTTATTGAAGTTTATGCTGCAGAGTGGCATTTTATGAGCAAAAAAATCGCATTAAGCCCTTTTTCAATAACACTTAAAATGTTTCTTTTGGTTTAGCAGGTAATAAATTTGGTCAGTCGTCTCTAGAATGTGCTGCCTCTGGAATCTGAAAGTTACCCAGGCCTTTAATTGTGAGGAGAGGTGGAATATAAAGTTGGAAAATGTGAGCAGGGATCTCCCAAGCTTCACTTGTTAATCTTTTTCCTTTCAGGGAGGCTGAGGAGCTGCTCCCCTGTGCATCCTGGGGGTGTAGGGGGAGTGTGTGAGCAGTAAATGGACCTGACAGGCCCCTGCCACAGCCTCTGCAGCTCAAGTGCCTGAAACTAATTCCACAATCCCGCTTTTCTTCCTATGCTACAACTTCCATTTCCTTAGAATAGAAATATATCTATGGAAGCATCTCAGAGTGTGGAAACAAGTGGGTTTTCCCTCCCCACACAGCAGTTCTGAGGTGATTTGTGATGATTTTGTTACCATTCTCCCCTCCATCCCAAGTGCTTTCCGTTGATCAGGCATCACCCAGCCTGCTTTGGGATGGGAAGGATGGGATTTGTCCTTGTTTCAGGGTGCTTGGCTGGGATTCCTGTTTAAATAACTCAATCTAGGAATCCTTGGCCTTAGAACCTCGTGGTGGAAGTGGCTCCTTCCTCTCTGGCTGGTGGGACGTTCACTTTGGCACTGGAATTGGGGCTGAAAAGCCATTTGGAGCTCGTGGGATGAGTGGGATTGAAGCCTTCCAGTGCTGCATCCCTGGGCAGGGCAGGGCCATCCCAGGGCACCCAGATGGGACTAAGGAAGGAAAATGTTGGAAGCACAGATGTGACTGGAGTCTGTTGTTGCAGTGAGTGCATTAAATGGACAAAAGTGACAAATTACAAGGGGCTGCCACTGTAACTTCGTACAACCCGTGTTGGAATCACGAGCAGAAATTCCCTTCTTGCCTTACAAGTGGTTCATTTTTATCTGGGATTGGAGCTTCATCCACAGAGCAGTGAGTCCTGCACCACCCTCAGCCTCTGAAGGTGGATTTGGGGTGAGTAAGGACCGAGCTGGGAGGGGTTTTTAAGCTTTTCCTCTTTGTCACTGTAGAAAACTTGGCTGAGAGTGAATGAAGGCAGAAAATGCTGCTTTCCCTGGGAGGCTGGGAGTGGTTCTTTGTGCATCATCAGCTGTGTCACCTTGTGTGAATCCTTCCTGAAGGAAAGGATTGGTGGTGAAACCACCAGGGAGGGTGGGAGAGGGAGCCAAGAAAAGAGGGATTGTCTTGGAGAGGCTAAAAAATAACTGAACAAACCAGCTGAGGGTGAGCATGTCCGTGGGCAAGAAATAAAACTGGGGGTGTATGATAGAGGATCCAGTTTAACTCTGTCCATGTGATGTTCCCATGAATGTTTTTGACACGTTTCTTCCCAAGTCCTCCTCCAAACCCTGGAATCCTGGCAGCCCCAGGGCTCAGCTCCGAGCCTGTGTCGGAGGGAACCCACCAAGGACTGGATCCAGTTCCACCCTCCAGCACTAAACCTGCAGTTCCTGGAGTATGAACTTGCCAGGGGACCCTCCCAACGCTGTCATTGCCTCCTCCTGCCTGGCTGTTGTTTACAAATGCCAAGTCACATCCGTGTGTGTCCACGTGGATCACCTGGACGGGGTCAGGTTCCCTGGGATCCCTTGGACTTTGTACTTCCCTTTGTCTCCTTTCTGAAAGAAACGGGGCTGATGCTGAGACTGCAATAAAATCTCATTCCAGAACGTGTTAAATGATGGCTTCAGATTAATCCTGAGACTCTGGAGGGCTGGAAGTTCCCAGCTGGAGCACTGGAGTCTGAACTCACGCTTGGATATTGAAGTAATTCAGCTAAAACATTTTATAAAGCTATTTATTATAATAAATTAAAACCATGATTCTATTAAGCAACTTTTTTTTTCCCCCTGTAATTTTATCAGGACATTCCTTGAATTGCTGGCCCTTTGCCTCTTTCTATCTCTTAAAATCTGGTTTTTGTGGAGCTGAAGGGAACTCATCCTGTTGTTTTAATTCTTGTTGGAGTGGAACAAACACAAATTTGGTCTGGATTTGGGGTGGGGAGCTCTGTGCCATCCCATATATGCATTTATAGGTGATGTCAGAACTGCTAATTCTTTAAAACCTACCAGTATTTATGATTTTTGAGGTGAAATCACTTGTCAGAACGTGCCTGTGTGCTTTAAACCTTGTGTGTGCGTGAGTTGCAGTGAAGCTTCTCAAGCAAATATATGATTTCTGACCGAGATTTTGGGGCTGTTTGGGGTGGAATGTGCAGCTCTGCCAAACCTGGGAGGGAGGCTTGTTTGGGGAGGGTTGTTAGGGACAAGTTTGATGATCAGTCCGTGCAGAATGGGAATTAAAATCAGAGTGAAATGCTGTTTTCCTGTCGAAAATGCTGAGTTCCGGGGCTGTGAGGTGGGAATAGGGAGCAGGGGCACATGGGGGGTACTTGGGAGTCTCAGGGGGTTACAGGGAACTTCTTGGAGAGCAAAACCCATGGAGCCAAGGCTGGGTTTAAAGATTACATGGACCTGGATGAGCTTTAAGATCCCTCCCAACCCCCCCACCCCCCGCTCTGGGATTCCATGGTTCTCCTGGGATGTCTTTGCTGGTGGGTGAAGGAATGTTCCTTTTCCTCGGAACTCGGTTATTCCTGGGCTTTGCCACAACTTTCCTGAGAACTGCCCTTAGTTTCCCTTTGACTCCAGTAAAATGCAAGGTGGTTCAAAAAGAAGCCACCACCATCACCCATTATTTTTGTCTGGTTTAGCTCAGGGTTCCTCTGAACTGGGCATTCCTTAGGCTTTTACCTGTGGAGCATGGAACTGTAAAGGGACTTTTTAACACAAAACTTTGCCTTTTGGCTTTTTTTTTCTCCACTGTGTAAGTCAGACTGCTGTGTTCTCCCTCATTGTTGTTTCTTTAATTAATCCAGCGCTTTCTTGATCCTGTTTATCACTTTTTAAATGACAGGTTATGCTGTTACTCTCTAGTTGCACACTCTGCATTTATTTATTCTCCCTGAATATGGGTTTATTTTAATATGAGGTCGAATTAGATGCAAAACTACAGAATGGTCGACAACATTGGCAATAGTCAATAGAGTTAATTCTTGTTATTTGCTTTTTGCCTTCATTCTTCAGAACTGGAAGGTTTTTTTTCTCCTTCAAATATAAATATGTGTATGTGTACATATATGTAGGCAACTCTTGGGGTCGTGCAAAGAGATGCAGATCTCTGGGGACAATGAAAACTAAACTTTCTTTTACACTAAATTTAAACTAATTTTATATATATATATATATATAAAGATTCAGTGTAAATGTTGAAGAGGGAGGGCCTTGTCCTGTTGAATCCTGTCATTATTTACCTTGACCCACGGTTGGACTCGATGATCCTCCTGAGTCCCCTCCACCTCAGGATATGAAGCTCCTGCTCCCTTCAGGGAGGCCAGATGGGGGCAGGATCTTCCTTTTTATCACCAAATACTTCACACTAAAAGCTCTTTATCCCCGGGAATTTTGCTGTATCCAAGGGGCTCAGTCAGCTCTGGGATCTGTCAGGGGGATGGAAGCCCTGTGGCCTTTTTATGGCAACATCTTATTTCTTAGCCTGCAACGTTCCCAGCTGAAACCAGCAGTGGCAAACTGGGACCAGCAGAGGTTCTTGTGGATGGAAGGAGGAGCCCGGGTCAAGGGCACTACTGGAGTCAGGATTTTGGCTTTTCTGTTCAGTATTTGGGCTGAGATCCTGCTCGTGCTGGAGCTTTTGCAGCTGATTTTAAAAGCTCCTGGGTTTTGCTGTAGAGCTGGAGCTCAATGGATTTCAGCTGGCTCTGTGTTCCTAAAACAGAGGTCGTGGAATCCCAGAATGGTTTGGGTTGGAAGGGACCTTAAAGATCCTCTTGTTCCACCCATGGGAAGGGGGCTTATCCCTGTCCAGTCCCTCCTGTGCCACTCCTGTTTTTGCAGCCATCATCTCTCCTCTAACCCAGCAGCTGAACGTGCTGCTAAAAACCCCTCTTAGCGCAAATCACCGTGAGGGACTAATTTAATGATCTGCTGGGCAGACCAGTAACCCCTTAAAGTTAATTTTTGTCTCAGGATGAGCTTTTAGCTCAGACATTCCCAGCGATTCCACGGGGTTTTCCGTGGTGCCTGGACTGCCTAGGACAGCCTGTCGCTAGTCTTGCCTTAGTCTGTGTTGTTTCTGCTTTTTAACAACAGTCCTTCCTCAGCGAACCCGCCACTGCCACCTTTTCTGCTGTTTTTCCATGGGCTGTTTTTCCACAGCCGGTTTCATCAGGGGAACGACTCCCTTTCCCACCTGAAAACGATTTACTTGCTTTGCAAAACAAAGCCAAACAAATGGGACGAACAAAAACATTTGTTGCTCAGAAACCTGTGGATCAACAAGGCTTCTGCGCGAGAGTTTTTTGATCTTCACTGATCTTCAATTGGACTTTTCGGCAAAGATGTTCGTGACGGGGAATTTCCAGCACGGAAAGTGTTTCAACCTGGTGGAACCCGATCAGCGCCGAATGTTCAGATTGGGAAGGGAATTATTAATTATTAATTAAGCCAACACAAAGGAGCACAGGCTGAGAACATGATCAGGATCTGTCACGAGACGTTCCCAAATTGAAGGTAAGTTGTCTCCTTCCCTGAAAACCGGCGTGTTCCATGAGCATCTTCCCCGGGAGACATGGGGGGGGGGTGGCCTTGCTGAAGGCTCAGGGCATCTCTGCCACAGCCAGGGTGACTCTGCAGCTGTTTCTGTCCCTCCACCCTCATTAAGTCGCTTTATAAAAAGCCCCATGAAGTCACCAGGAGTTCAGCCTCCCCTGGAATTGTTTTCAAAAGAAACGAGCTGAAAGTCTGCCAGACTCTCTGAAACTAAAACTATTTAATGTGAGTAAAGTTTCTTCCTCCTTGATCCCCTATTTCAGAGAAAAGGTGCATTAAAAGCCTGAGTCATTTTTGACAGAGGAATGGGAAAATGTGGAGAGATCTGTGTGTGAGACTGAGCCCGTGTGGGAGTGGGGAGGGACTGGGGGGCTTGGGGGCATCTCTGCCATGGGCAGGGACACCTTCCACCAGCTCAGGTTGCTCCAAGCCCCGTCCAGCCTGGCCTTGGACACTTCCAAGGATCCAGGGGCAGCCACAGCTTCTCTGCCCAACCTGGGCCAGGGCCTCCCCACCCTCCCAGCCAGCAATTCCTTCCCAATATCCCATCTGTCCCTGCCCTCTGGCAGTGGGAAGCCATTCCCTGTGTCCTGTCCCTCCATCCCTTGTCCCCAGTCCCTCTCCAGCTCTCCTGGAGCCCCTTCAGGCCCTGCAAGGGGCTCTCAGCTCTCCCTGGAGCCTTCTCTTCTCCAGAGGAACCCCCCCAGCTCTCCCAGCCTGGCTCCAGAGCAGAGGGGCTCCAGGAGTCCTTGGGGTGAGTTATCCAGGTAAGATCCCTGTTCATGCCACTGGTGGGATCACTTCAGTTTGCAGAAGTCTCCTGAGCTCCTGCAGGTCACACCACTGAGGATGTTGCTCCTAGGACAGCACGGCGCGATGGCAAAGGAGACTGGGGATGTTATTTGTGATGGTATCATTCCCCATTGTCATTAAGCGTCCCTTTATTGCCATTAAATGTCCCTTAATTGCCTTCAGCAGCAGGTCCTCTCATTGTCTGGGGCCGTGGGAGCAGCGGCAGATTCCTGAGGGCTGCTCGGGGCTGTTAATAATAGTGCCGAGGAGAATTGCTCCCGGTGGCCGCTGTGTCGGTGCCCTTTGTGCTGTGTCAGTGACCTTTCTCGGAGCATTCTGCCCCTGGGAACTGCTGCCGCGAGGTATTCCTGGCCACAGCTAGAGGGGAGCCTTAATATTTCATGGGCTGGTGCAGGTGGTATTTCAGGATATGAGACACCACTCCAGCCATGCAAGGCTGGAATGTGGAGCACGTTGCAATGTCCACCCCGGTTTTACAGTTGGAACCTTTCACAGAAATATGTTCCTTTTAAATGGGCAGAGTAAAAGAAATTTCAAAAAAAAAAAAAAGTCTCAGACCCAGGTTGCAGTTAAGGGCTGTGACACCAAAATCTGGGCATGGGAACTTTAGTCCACTGTTTGGCATCCTGCAGGATGAGAGGGCCAACGGTGCAGGAACTGTATGTTGGTGGGAAGATTTAGTTATTCTGGGATTCCTTGAGTAGATTCTTGATCTAAATCCTGACCTGCTTTTACAGCAGCTTTTGTGATCTTTGGACAAGCTGGTGTCAGTCAGGAATTGCACGTTTGCTTTTCCCCTGACTGCAGGAACTACAGGGAAGCCAGAGGGGTCCAGAGGCAGAGCATGAGGCCATTTTACTAGAAGCTCCTCAATTAAACCCTGCAGTAATTTGAAAACCCTTGGAAGGGGGAAAACTGATAGTTCTTTTCTTCTTTTGCCCAAGCAAAGTGAAAGGGAGCGTTACCTCAATCACTCAATTCCTATCCAGAGTTTGTTCTGGGCTCCTCAGGACAAGAAAGGCAGGGGGAGGGTCCAGCAGAGGCCACGGAGATGATGAGGGTCTGGAGCATCTCTGTGATGAGGAGAGACTGAGGGAGCTGGGCCTGGTCAGTCTGGAGAAGGGAGGACTGAGAGGGGATCTCATCAAGGCATATAAATAACTCCAAGGGGTGCCTAGAGGGGAATGCCAGACTTTTCAGTGGTGCCCAGTGACAGGACGAGGAGCAGTGGCCATAAACTAAACCACAATAAATTCCACCTCTGCAGGAGGAAGAACTTCTTTCCATGAGGGTGGCAGAGCCCTGGAACAGCTGCCCAGGGAAGATGTGGAGCCTGGAAACTGGACCCACTTGGGTGTGTTCCTGTGTCACCTGCTCCAGGTGACCCTGTCTTGGCAGGAGGTTAGACTGGGTGGCCCCCCTTCCACCCCTAACAATTCTGGGATTCTGTTATTCTCTTCCCTTTTGGGAAAAAGCAGGTCCTTGGAGAAAAAAGGCATGGAGGGCTAAGTAGTGAAGATTTGATTTCTTCCCCCTGTTCTCACCTGGGGCATGAATATTCTTCAGCAACATCAGGGCAGTTTTTGAACGGAAAAAGGCAGCAGAGCTGGTTGCAGAATTAAGGTGATGCACTGATCGTGGTTTCAAAGGGAATGTTCAGCCCTGTCCCTTCATCCCAGAGGATTTACAGCAGGGAATGGCTCCATGTTACAGCTGTGTTAATCCATCCCTTTGTTGGGGTGATGTGGAAAGTTGGCAGAGCTGTACAATGCCACGTGAGACCTCCCTGCTGCCAAGCTTTGTTAGAAATGTGAGCACTTATGAAGTGCCCTGAGGGTGGTCTGGAATAGAAAGGAACTTGGAGTGGCTTCTGGTTTCCCAATAAATTGTTTCAGCTCAGATCCATAAAAAAACAACTGCTCCAAATTCACTGCAAGGCTCAACTGAGTTCAGGGAGAAGGATGCAGGTCTGGGGAAACTTGTAGGTTTGGAAAGTCGAGGCATGTTCTAAAAATATGAAGGTTTATTTATCTTATAAACAGCAGGAAGGAGAAAAGATTTGAGAAGAACTTCACCTTCCTTTCCTAGTTTCTACTAACTTCAATTATTGTTCCAAAACCTGAAGATTTTGAGTTGCAGATGAGAGCTGGGTGCTGTATCTCAGCTTCCCACATCAGGTCCCATTAGGAATTTGGATCGAGACAATCAGAGCTGGCTTTGAATTCTTGAGGACCCTTCCTTTGGTGTATCTCCTGTTCTGCCCAGTGCCTGTGTCAAACCCCTGCTGCTGTCCTGGGAACATTAGTGGGGGAGATAAATAAGGCTGTTTGACATCATCCTGATGGTAAATATTTTCTTTTGGGATTCTCAAAGGACCTAAGTAAAGCACAGGGGAGGCTGTGACAGATCTGTCATGTGAGGGGAACGACCCTTCGTGCCGATGGCCACACTGAATATCTTGTGTCAATATAGGGGATCTTTTACTGGGATTTTAATATTTAAATATTAACCTCATTTTTAAGTTTCTACAGCTAGCTGGAGTCAGGTTGAGGTGCATTTCTTCATGAGATTTCTCTTTGCTCAATCATATCTCATCGTGAAAAAAAATTCACAAATATTTGGCATCTCGTTCCTATTCTTTTCAGTTTGGGTTTGTTTGGATTTCTTTTTCCCCTCCTTGGAATCCTCTCTCGAGGATTCAGTCTTTGAAATATCCTGGTTGAACACTTTCCATACTAAAATCTTCAGTCCTATAATCTATATAACCCAAATAATTTGATGAGTGAGGCGACAGTTCCTTCTCTGTCCAGAAACATGGGGAAGAAGCATGAAATGAATTTTGGTTTCATACCAATATTCCTTTAATCCTCCTCTTCCAGCACAGTCTTTTTGACTCAAGGCAGGACAGTAAGTGGTTGGTTTACACACCATGCAGCTACTACCTTGTGCTGCTACTCACCCCATATCAACATGTCAGGGTCAAAAAATAGACCTGAAAATAAGACATGTAGGTGATTTAATCGCAGCATTTTGATGGTGTTGCCTCCAAGATTATTATTTGTTATGATCTAATGCTTTCTATTAATACTTTGAGAAAGAGGATAAGGAGCACTGAAGTAAAAAGTGGAATTCAGCTTTTATCTTCTCCTAAAAAACCCTTTTCCTTCATAAACCAAGGCCCAATCCCTGACAAGGCCTGGTTTGATTCAGAATAAAAAAGACTGGCTCAACGTCCATCCAGCTGTAAAGGGACGACTCAGGGAAATATATACATGTATATGTATATTTAATTCAAAGACAACCCCTTGCACTGTCTAACCAAGCCCTCTCACTGTATATTTTTTTGGCAAATATGCCTTTTTTGGTAAAAATACTCCCCACAGTGTTTCTATCCGTGAGACCAAAACGGGCAGCGAAGCCTCGCAGTTGGGAATGGCAAAAAGAAGGAGAAGGAACTTACTGATGGTGGGTTAAAAATAGACACAGTGACACAAATACGTATTTAAATGTCCTTTTTCAATGCTAAAATGCTTGTTAAGCCCAGGTGGTTACCTCAGGAGGTTAAATGTAGCACCTGTGATGCCAGGCTGTTGATCCACCACGCCTTGAGAGGTTACTGCTGGATAAGGAGGACTGACCGAACTCAAGATTTAAATGACTCAAGCACAAGAAAATATTTTCTGCTTTCAAACTGAGGGTGATTGAAATGCAAAGCAGCATCTCCCTCTGCCTTAGTCATCCTGCAGCTTTCTGTCTTTTCAGCTCGGAACTGCTGAGCACGTGGATATTCGTGGAGCGTGGATAAAGTCTGGCCTGGTGAGTTTAACCTGGATCAGAGCTGCCACGTTCTCACCTACAGCAAAGTTTTCCTAATTATTTGGGAACATTTGTCCCCCAGAAAGCCAAGTTCCTATTCTCAGAGCAGAGACAAAGGTTGGACTTGATGATCCTGGAGGTCTTTTCCAGCCTGAATGATTTTATGGTTCTGTGAACGTTCCATCCAACAGTGATGTGAAATCTGAGTCAGACACAAATTTCCACAACAAAGCAACTTAAAAAGAAAATAAATGAAAGGAACGTTATTAACCATTAGCATTCCCTTTACCTCATACACATTTGGGGTGGTGGAGACCCCACCCCTGGAACTGTCCAAGGAAGGACTGAACGTGACACTCAGTGCTCTGGGCTGGGGGACAAGTGGGCATTGGGCACAGGGGGGATCCATGGGCTGGGAGGGCTTTTCCAACCTCAGGGATTCTGGGATTCTCCTTCCCCATGCAACACTTGCAACATATTTCAATTATGATATTTATGATATTTCAATTATGATGTTTCACTTAGTCCTGAAAGTGAATGATATGAAATGTATTAATGAGCATTAATAGTTTATTTCTGCAGTGCAGACCAATGTATAGACATATGTAAACATACATGTGCATGTCCTCAGGTGTGTTATATATATATAAATATAAAAATAACTTATATATAGGTAGGTGTGCAAAGATCCATTGATCAGGATGTGTTATATGTAGATAGAGCAAGTGAACACTAAATTTTTCACCTATAAATGCCAATTGTGGACTTGAGCAGAAACCACAGAAAGTGTAGTTTGGGTTTGGTTTGATGGCTTTTCCAGTTTCAAGATTTTCTGGCAGCCTCAAGTGACCCAAGAGCACCTTGCTCCCCTCTTTGTTTTCAGACATCAGAACAAAAATCTTATATTCATCCCAACTTTTAATTTCCCTAATAATGCTGTCGGTTCTTAAGCCCATCTGTAATTCTGGTGGGTTATTCCATGCTCTTTTCCAGCCCTGGACTGTGCTGCTGAAGATCTGCCGTGTTTCACACCAAAACCAGCTCCGTTTCAGTGGCAGGAAGAGGAGTGCTGGCATCCTGCACATAATTTTGGCCTTGTTCAGTGTCTTTCTAAGTAAGATTTATCAACCAGCAGTGTAAAATAGGCTGAAGGTGATGCTCCAGTAACTGAGGGATAAATTTATTGCAGGAACTTCCACGATTTGAGCTGGAAATGGCAGTAATGAATTACATGTTCAAGAAGAAAAATTGGCCCTTCGCTCCATGAAGGTTTGTTTTGCTAATGAAGATGTCACTTTTTGCATCCAATTAACTGAGAAGCAGCACTTCGGAGAAAAATTGAGCCTGGGAGTTATTTCTGGAATGCACACCCAGGGGATTTGGGTCAGAGAGCAGCAGGTCAAGCTGACAGCGCCCTCGAGAGACTCCACCAACATGTATTAATTTCTGGACATCTTCAAAAGATGTAAGAAACCTTTAAATAAACAGAAATCAGATAAAAAGGGGAAGGGTTGCCTAGGAAAGCAAAATGTGGAGTAATTAAGAGCCTATGGAGGAAGGGAAGGGTCTGCAGCTCTGTGCAGAGCATTAAATACTTGGCAGTAGGGAATGAGAGATGATATTTCACCTGGATATAAATATGAACTTCTGGAAAGAGTTAAGGGAAAAGAAAATGCCTCCCAAGGGCCCCATACAGTTATTTATTGAATTATGTGACCTAGTATTTGGAAAGGGGTCATTGTTGATACTGGCTTTGAAATGCACCTCCTTAAAGAACCAAAGCCAGTCTTATACTGTCAGTCCACTGGGTGACCCAAGAGGCCACTTCTCTTATCATCACCCCGGTTCTGTTCCATCCATCACGTCATTCCTGACCTTCCAAACTACTCTGTGCACCAGGGTCGCTCCCCTGTCACTCAACCTGTTTATCAACTATTCTTAGTCTTCCTCACCAGGTGTTTGGTCGTTGGCAGGTTGGCCATGAGTCAGTAGTGCCTGGCAGCCAAGAGGGACATCCGTGTCCTGGGGGACACCACTGGGTGAGGGAGGGGATTGTCCCGCTCTGCTCTGCCCTGGGGCGGCCTCACCTGCAGTGTTGGGGCAGTGTGGGGGGACACAGTGTTGTAAGGAAGGTATTGAGCCAATAGAGTGTCCAAAGCAGGCAAGGAGGATGGGGAAGGGCCTTGATTTGAAGCTGTGTGAGGACAGAAATTCTTTACAGAGAGGGTGCTCAGCCATTGGAATGGGCTGCCCAGGGAGATGGTGGATTCTCCGTCCCTGGAGGTTTTTAAGACAAGACTGGATGTGGCATCAGTGCCATGGGCTGGGAACCACAGTGGTAGTGGATCAAGGGTTGGACTTGATGATCTCAGGGGTCCCTTCCAACCCATCTGATTTTATGATTCTATGACACTGAGGGCACTTGGAGTGTTCAGCTGGAGAAGAGACTGAGGGGAGACCTCAGTGCAGTTCCAAATGCCTGGGCAGGGGCAGAGGAGGGGCAGGGACTGAGCTCTGCTCTGGGGGACCAGGGACAGCACGCAGGGAATGGCTGGAGCTGTGCCAGGGCAGGGTCAGGTTGGATCTCAGCCAAAGGTTCTTCCCCCAGAGGGTGGTTGGCACTGCCCAGGCTCCCCAGGGCAGTGGGCACAGCCCCAAGGCTGCCAGAGCTCCAGGAGGGTTTGGCTGATCCTCTGGGGCACAGGGTGGGACTCTTGGGTCTGTCCTGTGCAGGGCCAGGAGTTGGACTGGATGATCCTTGTGGGTCCCTTCCAACTCCGCATGTTCTGGGATTCTGTGAGTTTGACTGTTCGTTGGGTTCCTTGCAGGTTTTTCCATGCAAGTAGCACTTTTCCCGTGTTCCTGGGTCCGTGTCTTCAGCTATGAAACATTTTGTAAGTGATAAAAATATTGACAGGTGATTTGCATCGAGTTGACAAAGGTGAACTTACAGGGTAGAATTAAAGATGTATTTATACTGAAAATTTAGTTCTCAGCCCAGATTCCTTGCTCTGAAGTTCAGGGATTCTTGAATTGGGACAGTTCTGATTCAGGTACAATACAGGAATGAAATAAATTCATATTCCTTGTTCTTATCAACTCTGAAGGAAGAAAACACCTGTGTTTTTTCCATTGGAGTGTTCCCTTGGTCTGCTGGGGGGTCCATTTCAGCAGAGACCTGGAGAAGCCAGGCCAGACTCTGGTGTGTTTTGGTTTCCTCAGGAGCACCGAGGTGCTCAGCTCCCTTTCCATCCACGCTGCTGGGAACAGGTGGCTGCTCCGGGGTCACCAAGTATATTTAGGGCTGAAACTGGAGCGGGCTGGAGCCGGATTGGCCGTGCTGGCCACACGTGTCCTCGGGAGCCGCTGCACCCGCTCGCTCTCTCCCACTGCTGCTCAGGAGGGAAGGCTGGAGAGGCTTTGCTCCAAAGGATATTTGCTGGATGTTGCTGGTAAGAACATTTTAATTGTGTTTGACTTCTTGTCCTTAGAGCAGGACCTTGAGCTGCTTCCCCAGTTGGTAGTTTTTTGGGAGTAGTTGTCATGCCTTGCCCATGGAAGACAAGTCTTCTGCCTGGAGAACCAGCTGCAGACTGCAGGAGGAGGAAAGCACCTGGAATCGTGTTTGGGAGTGTAACTGAAGGTTATAACTGTGACAGTTTTTCTAGTTTATATCCTTATATGCAACCCCCACTTCTTGGCTTTAATCACTCACTTTGGCCTACTTTTTCACACAACTTGCCGCCCATTAATGGAGTTATTCTTGATTTATTTTAATAGTTAATGATCTGGTTCAACAAATTAACTTTTTGGCAATTTTTCTCACCTCACTGGAAACTAAAAAGGGACAGTATTCCATGTTCCTATATTTAACCTGGGTTACTCGACTTCCCTTGCCTCAGAAGGAATTGCAGTGTAACCAGCTAAACTCAACGGGCAGTTGGCAGGATTAGCTTACACGGCAAATATCCCTGGACTCAGGAGCAGCTGTTCCAAAGCCTCATCCCCTCCCAGCATTAGAAACAGGGCTGCAGGCTCCGGTGGAAAATTGTAGCTCTGCCTCGCAGCAAAATCAGTGTGTTAATTAATTTTTGACAGTAATCTGTGCTTTGTAATTCAGCCAACTCTGTGGAATTTCATCTTTTCCAGGTCTGAAGAAACAGAGAGAAAAAAGCCACAAGAGCTTAAAAAAAAACCCTCCCAGAGAATCAATATAGGCTAATGCTGGGAAGACAGAAATTGCCTCATTAACCAAAAGATGCTTAAAAAAATATTTATTATATTTTTCTACATTAGGCTTTCACTTATGAATGAATATCACAGAATATACAGATAAAGCTCCCATTCAAACAGGAGCTTGAATAATATAACGAAAGAGGAGAGAACAGTCACAGAGAAAAGAAAAATGCTTCATATAATTCCGGTGTAATAAAGAACCCAAATCATACTTCAAGAAATCTCTTCCTTTTTTATTTTCGTCGGATTCTAATATTGCTGTTACAACTATTGGAATGAAGTATTTGTCCAAAATTGTAACTTATATCAGTATATTTGAAACTTAATCCCATGTTTTTCCATAATAATCAAAGTAGTGCCAGATCCCAGCTTTATTTAGGATCTGACTAGTTACTAACCATGACCCCAGGTGCTTTATGAGCTTGATTTGTCACTTTTCATGGTACTTTTGGGCTAATCTTGTTTATTCATATTTTTATTTGCTGCATGACCAGTGAGTGGGGGAGAGACAGAAGAAAACCTTCAGAATGGAGGAAGAAGAATACGAGGAAGTTGTGGAGGTAAGAAGAAAATCCTAAGAGTAGAAATAATTGTTTCCTGCCTTGTGAATGAATATATTAATCACTTTAATGAGACTCTGCTCAGGAGCATAGGTGGTTGTTTGCTCTCTGAAGATTAGGGGATGATTAGATATCTATTAAATGGCTTAATCAGTAAAGAACCCACAACAAACAACAACAGTTGCTCTCAGCGGAGCAAAGTCTGCTGGTTCCTGCCATAGTTTCTGAGTTTATATAAGGACTGTAACCCTCCTACACCCACAGCACAAGGTTTCCTCATTACTCTTCTGCTTAATTATAGATGCACTGGGCCATCTCTTCTCCCTGCTGGCTTGCCCTCTGTCACCCAATCCATGCTGGAGAGGATGACTTTGGAAGCCCCTTCCTAGCCTTGCCCCTGTGCCCACTGCAATGCAGAAAGGCAGGAGGTTTGTGCCACCGAGGGACCACGACCAGGTTCAGCCTTAGAAGTTGCAGAGATGGAGCCAGATTTAAGTGGCAGGACCAGGGGAATGGCTTCCCACTGCCAGAGGGCAGGGATAGATGGGATACTGGGGGACAATTCTTCCCTGGGAGGGTGGGGAGGCCCTGGGTCAGGTTGGGCAGAGAAGCTGTGGCTGCCCCTGGATCCCTGGAAGTGTCCAAGGCCAGGCTGGATGGAGTTTGGAGCAACCTGGATAGTGGAAGGTGTCAGGGTTGGAACAAGATGGGCTTAAAGGTCCCTTCCAATCCAAACCATTCTGTGGTTCCTTGATTCTTTGCCTGTGGAGTTCCATCAGGGATTAATTTGCCAAGATGTCATTTAAACTGAGAGTTCAATTAAAAGAATCCCCAGGAACTGGGGAATTTACAGGTTAGGATTATGAGCAAATGCCACCGGAGCGATGACTTTGCTATTGAAACAGTCCATGAGGTCAACAGAGTGGTCTTACCTGTTGCATTATTGCTATTCTGAAATTAACTTATGTGCCATTAAATACATAAATTATTGTAGCAAATTGCTGTGTTTGAGGAAAAGAAGAAGAGTATAAATGCAGACACCTCACAACCCATTGTCACCACGCTGTGTTCGGTAAGCTGTTGATTTTAGGTGATGCGAGGGCACTGAGCCCTGGCTGCAGACTTTAAAAATTTCAAACAGTGAATGAAGTAAAGCCAAATGGATTAGTTAAATGTGTTTTGGAAAATAAAGAGTTACCACTCATAAAGTCCATTTAAAGGCATTGTACCACCTGGTTACAAAACACCAGCTTTCATTAAATTTCCTATTAGCACTTATAATTGCCTTCGTGCTTCCTGAGCGCTGTGTGCTCTCAGTAATAGGTATTTATTTGCTGTCAAAGTTTATTTATTCCAGCTGGAATTATGTTATGTTGGGCTTTCTGTCCACACAGCCCCGTTTCATCCTTTGTTTTTTATTTTCAGTGACCACCTTGCTGCAACCGCATCCCTCAGACAGACCAAGGTGGCACTGCCTTAGTAGCTTCCCTCAGGGTACTCCTGGTGAGAAGTTACATAAAAGAGGAACAACAGCATTTGGTGCAATTTTAAGGCAGATTAAACCTTTCCAGAGTTTTCTTAACTAAAAGCCCACTTTTATATAAATTCATGATTTTAAACCTCCAAGAGTTG